GGGGCTTTTTTTTCGTTTGTGTGCGCCCCGGTTCGCTCGCACCAGCAGATTGAATGCGGAGGACCGTGCATTCACGAGAGAGTGCAAGATTTCCCCGCCACTTTGGATTATTTTTGCGTGTGGCCTTTCCGTGCGTAAAGACGCCTATTCGGCACGCTGTAAACGCTTTTAAAAAAAAGGTTCATGTCGCTCGCTCGCATTCAGACACACACTTGCACGCCTGATGACGTCACTTTCCAACTTGCACTGGCGCCACCAGCAACGGTCACGAGCTGCTTTTTAACCACGTGCTTTTGGAGCACTTCTTGGGAGCATTTGTATGCACAATTATGCCTGACTTGTTGTTGTTTTCTTTGTTTAAATACCGTCTAGATCAGTGATTCTCATAGTGTGATCAGTGTATATCATTAGTGGTACATTTTCTTTCGAATACATACAGTTTAGTTGCCTTTAACTTACTGGTAAAAAAAAAAAAAAACATTTTCCTCTTGTGTTGAAGAAATTTTGGTGGTTAAAAGCGAATTTATTTCACTTTCATGTTCAATATATCTCAACTGAGTCATTATTTAAGACTTTTCTCCCCCTCCTTTATTTAAGTGCAATGTTCATGTTCAATCTGCACAATGTTGCAGTGGTTTACAATCACTTTGCTTTTTAAGAATATGAGCTGTTCATCTATGCTGAGCACTTAGGCTTACTCCAGGACTGCATTTTAAAGTTGGTCATGATGCTAGTTTGAGAATCACAGTGGCGTAGTGGGCCCAAGTGTTCATTAAAAAAAAAAAAAAAACAGGCACTGGATTTATTCCTAAAAATGTGATAGAATATTCATGGGTGCCATTGTGACTTCATTCAAAGTTTGAACTTTAAACACTGCCTGAATACTGTCAAAATCGAAAATAGTACTTGTGATGGAAATTAAAGCGCACAGGTTAGAAATGTAACCGAATCCTTGAAAACAAACACTGCCCTTAAAAGTTAAATACAACTGAACTGCACGGAACAAATGCACGGTATTGGGAAACACAAATGTTCAAGGCTCTCTCACTTTACGCACAGTTCAAACATTTCATTCAGTGAGTCTTCATTAAACTATACCACTAGAGAAAGCCCGTGTACCTCTAGTTATAATGATTCAATAGCAAATTCATATCATCATGAAAAATATGACTATTTTTGTATGGATTCTGACTTTTTATTGCAAAAAAAATGCATGATTGTCCTTGCAAATATTCCGAATTAAAAAAAAATATGACTACATTTTCATGACCTAAAAACTATTTCTGTGTGACTTTTCACCATCAGAATTTACATCATCAAAAAAGCAAGCTGCATCGTTGTACTTTGTTCTACTTGCAATGTTTTAATATAATGTTCCTGACTTTATTTTACAAAACATTTTTCGTTGTATGTTTTGATTCTTGAAACGTTCTTCCTGTAAAGCATAAAAAAATGTTCTGAATTTGTTATCGGAACATCACAACTCTCCAAAGTAGGCTATTTGGTAATTGCTAAGTGATTTGGGGGTTTATGTGGAGCAGTTAGGATAATGAAGGAGGTCCTTGGAAACATTTCTCCCACTGGAAAAAAAAAAATATTTGAGCACCCCTGTTGTGGAAGATACATTACACGCTACTTAAAAGTGGTTTTGTAGGCACTCGGTGTTTCCCGGTGCGTAATTACGCACGGGCAGCGTGCGTCCAAGCCGCATGTGAGAGAGGAGGTGAGGACCCCTTGCGGCTGTTTTGAGGGGTGTGGCTGCGCTCCACCCCGTGCAGCCACTCCACTGCACTGCACTCTCTCACTCCGTCCTCCTCGCCGTCGTCCCTCACTCCCTCTCCGTCTCGCGCAGGAGTTTGTGCACTCGCCCTTCATCCGCAAGCAAGGCAACATTTACAAGCCCAACAACAAGAAGCCGGACGGCGACATGGACAACGACAGCCTCAACGAGAAGTCCATGATGGACGACGTGCACACCAAAGAGATCGACCTGGTCAATCGAGATCCGAAGCACGTCAACGACGACGTGGTCAAGGTGAGGATTTTTTTTCTCCATATGACGTCACCTTAGCTGAGAGATATTTGACTGGGTGGGGGGTAAAACGCAGCCAGGAGGAAATTTCAATTTCCTGTTGTGAGAGTTCTTTCCACTTGTGGAACTGTTTATTTCATTGAGTTTTGCGACCTCTCACTAATAAAGCGAGTGGACGCGTAGCGCCACCTGGTGCCAGTTGACAGGAGTGAGTAGTGTGCGTGCGTGTGCCCACGCGTGCGTGCGCGCGCGCGCGCGCGCGCGCGCGTGTGTGTGTGTGTGTGTGTGCATGGAAAGCCTGGAAAAGTTGGGAAACACCCATGTTTTGAGCATGGCTCCTATCCTGAAAGAGCCACACCCCGCTACATTTCCATTCTACTCACATCCCATGTGACCACCCGAATAACAGCAGCTTTATCGCTACAGCTTTTAAGATGGGGGATACATTTCAGATCCACTCGTCCCACATGAAAGAATCCATGACACAGGAAGATCATGGAAAAAAAAAACACATTGATTTATTTAGTTATAATTCTCATGAGGGTCGCGGGCGTGGTGGGGGCTATCCCAGCCGTCTTCGGGCAGTCGGCGGGGTGCACCCTGAACTGGTCAGACAATCGCAGGGCACACATAGACAGACGACAACCATTCACACTCACAATCACACCCAAGGACAATTTAGAGTGATCAATTAACCTACCGTGCATGTTTTTAGAATGTGGGAGCAACCCGGAATCCCCGGAGAAACCCCGCCTATGGGCATGGAACAGACTATGCAAACTCCACACAGGATTTTTTGGGGTTTGTTTTTGTCTTCTAATTTCTACATTTTTTTTTCACTGATTCAAAGCGTTCCTACTTTAAATTGTGCAGCCTGGTGGGGTGGCTTGTGAGTGTCCGGGCGTGAGCTGTGGTTGAAAGCAGGTCCTTCCCTCTTCTTTGATTTAGGATTTTACTGTTTTCCCGGCATTCTTATAGCAGCTGAAAAGTGCATTGCGACTGCAGCTCTCCCATAATTTCTTGCGTCTTCCTTGCCTGTCGAAACGATAAGAAGTGAAGTTGAATCTGTTCCTGGTCTGCTTCTTAAGACAAATGAGTCAGACTCTCCGAAATCCTCCACATTCGACCACAACGTTCACATCCCCAGTGGAAACATTTCATTACGCACTTTACTCTGTCTCTAATTATATGCAATACAAAATATTATGTAACCATAGAGGTGGTGTACACCCTGGACTGGTCGCCAGCCAATCGACCAGTCACAGACAACCATGAGCGCTTGCAATCACACCAAAGGACAATTTGAAATATTTGACAAACCCACTTAGCGTGTTTTGGCAAAGTGGGAAGCATGGGCGAGTGTATGCAAACTCATTCCCAGAATCCTTCGCATGTGAGGCGGATATGCTAACCACTAGGCTACCATGCTGCCCCTCGAAAAGGAATTCCTTCAGTCAAGCATTCCGAGGCAAGGAACACCTTCTGGGCTCACTGCCCACCATCCGGACGGGAACGTCAAGTACACACACACACACACACACACACACACACACACACACACACACACACAGGGAAGCCCTTCCAGCAAGCTCCACGCGCAAATACGGGCTGGCAGAAGGGAGGCGCAGCTTCCGCAGCTGGACTCAATCTACAGGCCGCATCAGAACCACGTCGGCCGCTTCACTTCACTCGCTTGTGACTTTCCATTCAGACGCGGTCTTTCCATAGCCCTGAGCAGCCGCTTGCGTCCAACAGAAGATCTGTGAAGGCGCTTGTTCATTGTGGAATCCGCTGGTTAAACTTACTCACACTGGTGACAATGGTTGGCAGCACGTGGAAGAGCGGTTTACACATCTGGTTTGCCGTGCGTAGATTCGCAGTTTGAATCTGGGCTCAGGCCTTTGTGTGGGGAGCCAGGTTGTTATAGAAATTCACAAGGCGGCCCAGTGGACCGGCGGATAGCGGGTCGACCTCATAGTACAGAGGTGCAGGGTTCGATTCCGGCTCCAGCCACTCTGTGTGGAGTTCGCATGTTCTCCCCGGGTCTGCGTGGGTTTTCTCCGGGTATTGCGGTTTCCTCCCATATTCCAAAAACATGCATGGCAGGTTGATTGGGCACTCCAAATTGTCCCTAGGTGTGAGTGTGAGCGTTGATGGTTGTTCGTCTGTATGTGCAACGCCAGTGACTGGCAACAAGCTCATTGTTCATTGGATGGCGACCATTCCATTTTTTGTCTCCATGTTCTGATATTAGCTGATGACCAGTCCATTGTTTGTCTATACGTGACATGCCAATGGATCCCACCAATCGATTATTTGCTATATCTGAAGTGCTATTGAATGGCGACCACTCCATTGTGTAAATGTGGCATGTCATTGACTGGTGACCATTCAGTTATTTGTCAATATGCGCTCTTTCATGGCTAGCAACCAGTCCATTGTCTTTTGATATGTAATATACCATTGACTGGCAACCAGTCCATTGTGTACATTGGGACAAGCCATTGACTGGCGACCTGTCCATTGTTTGTCTACATGTGTCCTGACATTGGCTGGCGTCCAGTCCAGGATGTACCCCACCTCTCACCCATAGCTGGGACTAACTTTGCCTTACTCATGACCCCCAGTTAGGACGAGCGCTACAAAAAAAAAACGAATGGTTGTTTCGAAAGTCAACATGATGGACATCGGTTAGCTTGTCTGGCTCACAGTTCTGAGGTTTGTGGTTTGAATCTGGACTCTGACTTTCCTGTGTTTGGATGCTTTCCTACTACCATGTCAAAGTGGAGAAAAAGAAAATAGAAAATCATATATTTATGAAAAAATAGATGTGGATACTTTATAGCTTCATATTGTTAATATTCAATATTTTATTGTGAAACGGGATGTGACTCGGGTCGGCACTTCCTGTGAATTGTGATGCCCCTCAAAGCAACACAAGAATCCATTAACATGCTTCTGCGCCACTTTGTTTGAAGATTGCACTCTGAGAATAGCATGTAGCGTTTGTTTTTGGCACAATAACAGAGTTGCTGGGGCGACAGGGGGTAGTCACACACTTCCACGGGGCTTCACTTTTAGATGTTGCTGACATTCACAGGGAATTCTTTATTTATTATAGTGCTCGAGTCCGCCCTCTAAACGCCAACACACATCAGAAAGAATTCACTGCGATATGCAAATAAACACTGAAGTGTTTTAACAAGAGCTTTAAAGTGAAAAAAAATATTGTTAATAGCCCTGCTGATACTTTTAGACAAGAGCCTTTTTTTTTTCTAAACCCTTGAATACAATTCTGGAGATCAGCACCATGAACTTCAATATGTTCTTGTGGCTATTTTAAAACATGGGATTTTGCACTCTTTTATAATGGAAAGTAAAAAAAGTGTATCACACCAACTACTACTGTCCAGACCAAAGGGTGCTGAATGGTGGAAACAAGACTTCACTCACCAGTTTTGTTGTTTAAATAATTGTGTGTTTGTGTGTGTATTTTACATAAATCTACTGTATATTAAAGTTAATTAAATGTTGTTGTTGTTTAATGCTAATGGTGCTAATTTGCATTAGCATTAGCTCGTCCAGTGCTTAGCTAAACATGGTTAGCTAAACTCGATTTACCTGACAGAGGCATTGGAAGTTAATGTAAAATTATATCTTAGTGTACAAAGTACAAGAAACACAAAAAGGATATAGACAAATGTTAATGTGCGTTGATTTTGTCCTTGGTGCTAAGCTAAGCGGACTAAACTTGATGCACTTGACAGCGGCATTTAGATTTAATGTTAAACGTGTGGACATGCTTTTAGACTGTATGCTAATGCTCATTAGCCTCACATGTCGCATGTCCAGTCTTTAAACTAAGTTAAGATAAGTCAACTTGATTTACTTGACATACAATTAGGATTTAGTCTAAGACGTTATCGTAGTGTGCATGTGCGTTGGGTCCATATTTCTGCCAAGCTTTTGGTAAATTAGGCGAAGATGGATTTATTTGATCGAGGTATAAGAAGGGTTCGTCTAAAAAGTTTGACTTTACCATAGGGCGCATGCGGAGACCCACGCATTTAAATGTTTTATCAGTCCAGTTCTTATTCTAAGCTAGCTAAGCCGCATCCACTTGACAGTGGCATTCGAAGTTCATCAACAACCTCCTCGCTGATGTTGCCTTGATGAGAACACCTTGAGGTCTCCAAGGTTCAGAAGGATAAATATTGACAGTGAGCTCATGAAGTAGCAGAGAGGAATGATAGAGAGCCTCTGTGTCGAGTTGACGCTTCAACATGACCTTCAGCGTTCCCAACATGGCATGTTGGAAATGCGAGGCAGTTTAAAAGAAACAGAAAACAAGGACCTCATTTGAAAAGAACATTTGCCTATTATTAATTATAAAGAGGGCATTTTCTCACTTCCCTAGTTGTAAGGTGCCAATGCGGGATGGGAGGAATTGTCGCTGTCACGTGACAAGTAGCTCAATTTGATAAAACGTCCATTTCCGATTCAATGTCTCTTCTCACCGGTCTTCTTCAATTCCTCAGGTGGACTTCGTGGACGTGATCGCTGAGCCGGCGGGCACGTACAGCTTCGATGGCGTGTGGAAGGCCAGTTTTACCACCTTCACCGTCACCAAGTACTGGTGCTACCGCCTTCTGACGGCGCTGGTGGGCATCCCGCTGGCGCTGATTTGGGGCATCTTCTTCGCCATCCTGTCTTTTGTGCACATCTGGGCGGTGGTGCCCTGCATCAAGAGTTACCTGATCGAGATCCACTGTGTCAGTCGCATCTACTCCATCTTCGTGCACACCTTTTGCGACCCGCTCTTCGAGGCCATGGGCAAGTGTTTCAGCAACATGCGGATCACCACCAGCAAGGGGGTGTAGGCGCCATCCTTGGGGGGTGGGTGGGTGGGGGGGGGATCGGATGAAGGTGGGGCCAGAGTCTGAAAGGACCTTCTTACAGGTTGGACATTCCAAGCTAAGGGACAGGGAGTGGGGTGGTATTTCTTTGTGTTTTACATTTTTTTTTTCCTTCATGTTTTGATCTATTCGTATCCTGGTACACACAAAAGCCCCCTTCACGCTGGCGATGGAAGCCAGCTTTTTCCTCGTTCACAGTCATATGCGTAAACGATGGCGGGTAGTTGAAGTCGACACATGACGTTGCTGTCTTTGGATATTTCTCAGTTATATCTCATTATCTGAACACAGCACGTCCCATTCACATACAAATAACACCTCTGATGCGCCAATTTGCCAGGAAGCTGTATGACAAGGGCTCAAGATAACTTGTATTCCCTCCCCCTTATGAACAAAATCAACAAAAGTCAGCTTGTGACTTATTGCTACCGAATTGCTGTCAAAGTGTGAAGTTATTCAAGCCAGAGACTTACCGGCCACACCCCTTCATGTCGAAAGCAGTTGTCGCTGTTCCAAATATATCTCATTATCCGAATGTGCTAACTCACAAGAGCTGTGCATACACACAATGTCCCCCTCTTTGGAGAGTTGTTGAAAAGTGTTTTTTTTTTCTTGCTCCGACCTGACTGGATAACAATCATGGTCAACAATTCACGATATAAAATCCTGTCGCAGAAACCAGCCAAATCCGGCTTCAACCACAATGTAAGTCAAGGTGGTGGCAGATCACCGAGCAGCTAGCCCAGCGTCTTCTTCTTCTTTTACTCGAATACTTGATTGTGGTTTTGTGGTTTTTATTGTCATGTGTGGGGTCTTTTTATGTGTGTACCGGATGTAGACAAACCGACATTCACATTGTTCACGTTTGTTCGCGGAGGGGCGGTGGTCATAGCGCTAGCTCGGTGGAGGTCTGAATTCTGCTGACACGACACAAAACCAAACAACCATTGATCCCTTTGTCCCACCGTGACCTCCGAAAACCACCCCCAGTCCCACCTCCCCCGACCTGACTTTGCTGCAGTCCGACACACTGAACCTGCCCCCCAACTCCCCTTTTTTTTTTCACCGTCCGCCGCCCTCAAGACCAACACGCCACCTGCTACTCACTCACTTGCTTCATCTTTTGAAAAAAAATGTTCACATTTCACCTTTTTTAGCCTTCTGCTTGACAATGCATAAAACTTGGGGTGGCTAAGCTTAGCGGCTAACGAGCATACCAACATACGCACACACAGGTTTGGGACTCAGACTCTCCATTTTTGCGTATCAATGTGAAAAATATGCAATACAAATGAATGTCGCTGCCTGCTAGCGTCTGTTTGTTTTAGCTTAGCACAGCCTGCTAGCTTACCAGCTGGCAGGGAGATGACTGATTACTTGTAACGACTTGACTTGGACTCGCTTTGCTTTTGAGTTTTTTTTCATCACGAGAAAGAAAAACATCGAACTAACAACTTTTTAAAGTTTGTAAAAAGCTCAAGCAAATTGCTTTTTTGTGTCGCCATTAAAAAAAACTCAATGTGACGGCCTCACCAGGCGAAGGGAGGACTCAGCTTTCCACGGTTGCACGCTTTGACTACCTGCTGTTTTGTTCCCCTCACAGGAGGCTCAAAAGGTGATATTTTTATATATAGTTTTCCCCCTTTCTTGCCTTTACTTGTACAATATCATGCTGTGCACATTAAAGTTGAATATGACCACGTGCGTGTGTGTTGTCATTAATAGCTTGTCTTCTTTTTAATAAAGTGTAACACCAATAGATTTTGTTTTGTTTAGGAAAGAGCAACATTAAAGCTACAGTTTGTAGCTTGTGTTCCCCGCTATGTAAATTAGGATTACAACAATTGAGGCATTGCTTCAAGCGAGGCATTGATAGAACGTAGGCAATGCCTCGCTACCGTGTGATTCAGGGCAGTGAGGTAAAATGGTTCTTCGGATGAGGTAATTATTGTCCAGGATGATATTTTCTGCTGCAAAAGTGCAAAATATTTGTATTAGTTAGCGTTTTACAAATTGGAGACAAGGGGTCGTCCGTCATTTTTGGTGTGCCAGGACAGGACTGTTCGCTAGTCAACACGAAACAGAAGATAAAATCCTGAAAAATACAGCAAGCTGTCAAAGGAGCAGATACGCTTAATTGGTATTGTGTTATCTCTTCTAGTCAAGTGGCTTGGCTGAAAAGGACTTATTTTTCTGGATAAGTGCACTGCAACTTTAATAACATTGAACATGATTGTTTGTTTTCTTTTTAGGAAAAGCCCACATCAACATCCTGTTTTTTCTTGCAACCACGTATTCTAATAATGAAATTAAAAAAGGCCTGATCAAATAGTTTAAAGAAAATGTTCAGAGAGAGTGCAACGTCTTTGAAAAATTACAGATGACACTTTTTATTGTAATTTTAAAATAAAACAGAATAAAAAATTGATAGGAAAAGAAATGTGCCAAAATATATGCACCAACAATGAACAATGACTCTATAAAACACAGAGGTGGCAAATCCAGGTCGAGAAAGTAAAAACCCTGTCACAGTTTGGCTTTAGCCACAGGTGCTTCTATTCAGTCTGTTGAGAAGAAGCACCGATGTCTTAAGTATAACTGTGGCTAGGTTTTTACTTTCTCGACCTAGATTTGCCACCTCAGTTAAAACACAACAGATACGCGCACTCGTCGCGAGGGGGAAAAAAAAGGGTGGTGTCCGTTTGTTGTGAAGTTCGCTGCTGCCATCTAGTGGAGGAAAGTATGAAACTCATTCAAAAGTCAATTTGAAAAAAAAAAAACCTTGTAAGTGAATGACGTAAAACAGAGGTGTCCAAACTCTGTCATCAAGAGCCGATATCCTGCCTGTTTTCCACCTCCCCCTGATGAAACACACCTGATTGAACGGACCGAAGGCCAATTTAGAGTGTTCCATTAACGTGCCATGCGTGATTTTTGAATGTGGGAGGAAAGTACCAGGACAAAAACCCACGCAGGCACAAGGGAGAAAAATGCAAACTTCACACAGGAAGTCCCAGAGCCGGAATCGAACCCTGCACCTCTGCACTGTGAGGCGGACGTGCAAACCAGCCAAACTCCGCTCAACCATGTTAATAATCTTTTTAAAACTATTTAATTTATTTTGGGGGGAGGCAACGCCGTTTTTCGCAGAACTCGCCTATTGCTGTATCTCTGTTTATTCAATAAGTTTTGGAGTTTAAAAAAAAAGCAATTTGAAAATTGAAAATGGATATGCCATGAATCCAATCAAGCCCCCCCACCCTTCAAAAAAAAACAACAACATTTCTATTTTTTTTAAACTAGCACTATATAATATTGTAGGCTACTTTATAAGACATATAATTCTAAATAGAATATTGTGCATATGATTTAATGCTTGTTATCCAGTTTGTTGTGCTGCTCCTTTGACCACTGGGAGGCAGTATACTACTGTCGTCTAAACCAAAATGAAGACAGATACTTCTACTACTCCTGTAAGAGATGCTAGTAATTTTTTTTTTACGACAAAGACAAAATATGACTGTGAGTATTATTGTATTATCTGGCTTCGTGTGTTGTTCAAAAGACTGTTAAAACCGTGACTATCGATGCTAGCCGTTAGTGTGTCAATGGCGTGTTGCATTGTTTGTTAGCATTCAGTAAAACGAACTTTCCTAAGGCAAAACTATGTGAGTGTTTTAAGTACACAACGGGTAATTATCTTTGTTTTATGTATAGTTTGACGGTAGACTTTGTCGGGGAGTGGCAACAAACATCTTCAAGCCACTTTTTCTTTTTTATTTGAATGAATAGTTCAATATTTGCAAACTACTGCATGTTGTCAAGTCAAAACAATGTTTATGGTGTCAAGTATCACTTTTATATTCAATGTAGGTATTTGGTGTGATTAAATATATATATTTTTTAATGTTTCAATGGCATTACAGAATTGTTTTGGTCTAATGTAACCATTTCCTGAAAATAATAGGAGTAAAGCATCATTTTCTTCACCTAAGGAATCCCTTTTGTGGACAAATACGGTGTTGTAATGGGAAAAAATTAAGCAATGGCAAATAAATTATCATTAAATGCCGTTTTTTTGTGGCCTCAATTGAGACATGTAGCTTTTTACGTCAAAACGTGATGTTTGCCATTTATGTAGTTGTGTATCTGGTACTGGGACTTTTCATGTTATAGCTTGAACGTGTTTGTGACCACAATTTTTCCCAGAACAGCTTTGCTGGGTCTTTTATGCAAAACTGGTTAAGCTTCAGGGTTGTTCCCGCGGTATGGAAATCTTACTATTCAAAACAAAATAGTTGTTATTCTAATCATTAGAGTAGCAACCGAACTCATTTGTTCACATGACAATGTGGTTTTAGATGCCTGCACTCCAATAGTGGACTAGTAAAAAAGTTGGAAGCGCATAATGTTTCCAAATGTCACTTGGTCAATTAAATAGCCGTGTCTTGGTACTCCCCCCCCCCCATATAGTGTCAAGCACTGAATCGTGTGTTACTTTTCGGGGGCTCCTCTTGTGATATCCGCTCCAGTCGCTGCAATCAGTCCATCATGTGGACGTTGAAGATGCCGCACGAGATGAAGCAAACTGTGGCTTTCATTCACGAGGTGAGGCGGAGTGTCCGTCTTGTCAGATGCAGACGTAGGATGTTAAGGCCCACAGGTCATTTCCTGTCATGTGTGCGATTGTCTTACTTTGATTTCCTGTGACTGAGACAGCAGGGGGAAAAAAAAAATCCAGCAAGTGAAAACTGCCACATCGTATGACTTTTTGATGATCACAAATATCCAGACATCCATTTTCTATGGCGCTTCGTAGACATTAGTTTTGCAGGTGAGCTGGATTCTATGATAGCTGACTTTGGATCGGAGGCGGGGCACACCCTGGATTGGTCGCCAATGTCAGTCAAAAATTTTTCTTTGAGGGAGATGTTTTGGGCCATAAATGTTCCGTATTGAAGGATTTAAGATGACACACACACACACACACACACACACACACACACACACACACACACACACACACACACACACACACACACACACACGAGCAACAGATGGCGCCAGACTAACTTCCTTCTGGCCATTTTGCTGGATTAAAAAACATCAACAAAAACAAATATCTCAACCTAACTAAAAAAAGAAAATAAATCATCGAGGAATTTTTTTTTCATACATATTTCATTGTACTATTATAGAGAGTTATTTATTTATGTATTTATTTCTTTTGTTTTAAACACTGAATGTATGCTAAACACAATCTGTACTGTTTTAATTATTGAATCCA